AAAGAGGGTAGATTTAGATTGGACATAAAGAAGGAATTTATGATGAGGGTGGTGAGACACTGGAACAGGTTTCCCAGAGAAGTTGTGGATGCCTGATCACTGGAAGTGTTCAAAGTTAAGCTGGATGGAGCTCTCAGCAACCTGCTCTAGTGAAAGACTCCATGTCAGGGAAGTTGGACTGGACAATCTTTAAAGGTCCCTTCCAACCCAAACCATTCTATGATTTTATGATGAGGGCATTAGAGCAGCTACCACTTGTAAGCAACTATGCATGCATGAAGAACAGAAGGGAAAGTTGCTGCTCACACAGGTGTGTAGGCTGAGCATTAGTTACAGGTTTGACAAAGCCTAAGTTTTGTTATGAGATATTCAGCTGGTAAAGGTAGTAGAATATACTCACACAAGTCATTTGCTTTAGTACCCTATAGCCTCCTGATGAAGCAGCAGCGCTATCGCTGCTAACGGCATTTGAAGGTTACAAACACAATCCAAGTGTGCAATTGTCGATTGTCTTTTATTCCCAAAATCACTTCTTCAGCAGTTAAACATGACAGCATGGGGATGAGCATGGCTGAGCTACCTGAGCAGGGGAGTTACTATTACACCTGCTGAAGCCCTCTCAGCTGGTGTACAGGTGGGGAAGGAAGCCAGTTCACACTTGTCTTCACATGTGCACCTCTACTATGATCCAGTGATCTCAATACTCAGACTCACACAGTAGCTCTCCTGCTCTCATTTGAGCCCTTAGATGAAAAATTAGCCTGTTAAAATACATTATGTTTTACGTTATAGCCACAAGCCAGTTTATTATCTCAAAAGAACTGCCTACAAACCAGAGAATTTAACCTGGGAAATATCAGCTCTAAGAAAAAAAAAAGCAAAAACAAAAAACCTAACAACAAAAAAAGCAACCTCAAAAAACAAGTTTCAAGTGCAATTCCCTGCTCCCTGGTACGACCAGCAAGCGAACACTATCAGGAAAGGAACAGAGTGAACACTTCCCACCAATATGGCACTAAGTCTAAAACTCCAATTCTACAAATTGCTCACGGGTCTCCTTTTTTCAAGACATTAAATTGTGAAAAGAGACTGAAGATAAATGACCAAAAGTGATCTAAGGTTTGAGAACACATTTTAAAGTAAGAGAATCAAGCCATGTTCATTTTTCATCTCAGTAAAATGAGAAGAGTATGATAACAAGTGCAGGAAGCAAAAAGCTGGAAGGAGCTCTGCAAACCTACAGGATCAAGGATTAGATAACCACAGTGCTACTGGCTGACCAACACAAAAGACAACTTTAGCCATTAGTTTGAAAAGCAAGACAATCTTCAGCTGTTGCTGGAGAGTTCTTGGAGTTTTTATGTTACCCTATGAAAGTTAGCTCCCATCCTAGTCTCAACCTCCTTTCCTCTACTCTCCCAACTAGTTTAAATAACCAACAGTGTTCCTGAACTTAAATTGCATTGTTAATATTCATTAAAAAAAAGAAATTGAAGTTCAAAGAGCTTTTTTAAAAGAAACCACTAAATAAAACAAGACTGAAATAACTGGAGCAAGGGGAAAGAGCATGAACAAATGTAGGCGAGAAGTGTGACTACCAACATTTCAGAAAGCAGTTAAGACCAACACAAATCAAAGAAAACACTGGCCCCTAGTGCTGACGTTTTTGCACTTCATTCAGTGTGGGATTACAGTTTCAAACTGGTTCTGGTACCTGCTTTCCCCTTCCAGAATTATGAGTTTTGCAATTTGGATGCAGAGCAGTTTTCATTTTTCAGTCCATGCAACTACAGGACTTGGTGAGCAGTTTGTTTTGCCTACAGCATCTACAACAGCCTTCAGAAAACCTGGACTGTGACTGCTGTATAAAAAAAATCAATTTCTCTTCATATATTAGTACACGGTAACTTGGTGCAATGTGACTTAATACATTATCAAGTTACATCAACCTTATACAACATCGCAACGTAAAAAGAATGCGAGAGAAGAGTGTCTAAGTAGCAATGACCTTTTATACCTGAGTTAGTCTCAGAGTTATGAACTAAAATTTGAGAGGTCTATGGACTGAACAAGTTAACAGCTAAGAACAAAGTTTCTCATTAACAAAATTAACAGTTTGATGTATAGAGTCCAAATTCCACAGGAAAAGACTGATTTAAGGGAATCTGTATCTGATCACCAAAAAAGTATGTCTTACCTTTTCAATGATCTCATAGCATTCCTCCAGCTTCTGAGTTCTGTCTTTCAGAGCTGTACTGGTTTCATTGTAGACATTCAACCACTCTCTGTAAGAGTTTTCTGACAGGTCTGCATAAGCAATGCACAAAGTCCTAAGACCTACAAAACAGAAGACAGCTATTACATACAGTAAAATCACACTATCAACAAATCATTAGTGCCCTAATGAATGCTAAATTCTAACCCTCTTTCTGGAGCCAACAGGAGCTTTTAATGCACACTTAAACTCTGGATTCCAGAAAATTTCCCTGTACATTTTAAGGCATTTGGATTTTCACAAACAAATCTAGGAGTCTGGCTCATTTATGATACTAATGTTTGTATAAACCAAGAGAGAGCCTAACCGGCACAAACTTCTCCCTGATTTTCAGTATTGAGATCCAAGCATACCGGAGCAACAAAAGGGTCATCTTTAATCTTTTTTAGTTTTAAGTATGAAAACAAGCTTAGCTTTCATGTGTTTTTAAAAAGATTAAACAAAGAACTAGCTACATACTGGGTCTGGAGATATTACTCAGTCAAACATACTGCACAGCCCACGTTTCCTTTTAGAAAAACTGTTTTCTCCTTCAGTGTATGCACATAACTCACATTAATAATGGGAGTTACACATGCACAGAAGAGTAGAGAATTTGGCCCATGAAGTATAAAAACCACTTTACTAGACCACTGACAAAAATTAACATACGGAAGTAATGTGGGTTTTTTTCTGGCATGAGTCAAGTAGAAAGGAGCGTGTGCCATAGAATACAAGGCTTAGTTACTTAAAATGCAGGAGTCTGCAAAAAAAAAAAATTTTTTTTTTTTTTTTTTTTTCAAAATGGAATAGATGTTTTCAGATTTAGGAAGAAAACCACTGGTACATGCTTTTACTATAATGCAAATGTTTTCTGCTACTGCAGAAGAGGGAACAAAGCCAAGTACTTCCCTGTGAATAGAGCCATTACATCAGTCAAAGCTCCTTAGAGACCATTTCAGATCATCTTTGATGTCTTGGTCTGAACAGGTTTCTCAGCATGTTCAGGTTATTCTGCTTCATAAACCCAGGGACTTTGTCCTTTGACTTTTACACTGGCAAAAACACCTCTAACTCCAATGTAATTGAGGTGTTCTGGGCTTCATCACAGCCACAAAGAACTCCATCTTTTCCTTCCAAATTCCACTTCCTTACTGAAATCGTGGAGAAACAGGGCACAAACTGCCTCAGGCTTAGAGTCATCCTAGAATTGTTAATTTGCTGATTACATACCACTTAATTTATCTTCATAACCATCTTATTTGGCACTGCAAAGCTTCAACAATGGAGAACACGCTGCAAGTAATTTGATAAACTGAATTCTCATGACATGCTATTTCTCTTACCTTCTGTTGCGAAGTATTCAAGATGGCACAGTGTTTGCTCCATATACTGGGAATCTTTTGAAAGTCTCTCAAATATTACATTATCCTATTAAAACCAAATTCGTTACAACAGATTAAGTTGAAGTTGAAAGTTCCCGTTTGTTTCTTTACAAGTTCAAGTGAAGTAACCTGAGTGGACCTGCTAGTGAAGAGAACCCAAGCCTACGTTTACAAGTAACACATTCGGGTTTTAGAGACAGGTTTGAGCACACATCCGGTAATCTGGATTGTGCCCAGTGGCAGAGATACTGCATCCACTTTAAATAACAGCGACAGAAGCACTCTGCCCTCCTCCTCTTTCCATAAAGGGATCCCCATTATTTTGTAGTACAAAACACTTCTTTGAATTACTAAGGGGATGTATTGATCTTCAGAGACTGTGTCTAGTCTTATGCAATACACACTGTAGCCCCATATAGAAGAGCTTCTTGCAATCCTTTCTAGAGAAGATTCCCACTGATGTTAAAAAAATAGAAGGCAGAAACACTGAACAGGTTCTACCACAGAATTCTCTCAGAAATAGCCTTCCTCCTGCAGCAACTTTCTTCATCACTAAATCAAAGGGCAATTGAAAAGGAATAGGTAACAGCTAAAAATCGAAGTGCAGCACCATCATCTACATATCTACAGTCTCTGGATTTCATTCTGTAACTACCAGACAAGTTGTTACATACATGTAAAATACACAAACCCTGCTTTTTCTCGAAAATGTACTAAGTAAACAGGTCTTCATCTATCACTGATTAGAGACAGGCATACAAAACCAAGTAATTTATGATGGATGTGACAGGATGGGAGATGACTATGGGAATATGGAAGAATTCATGTATAACAGGCAGTTAACTTACAGTTGAGTGGTGGATGCAGCAGAACATACAAGACAAAACACCAGATTACACTAATTACAACAACCCTTTTGCTCTGTTAGACATCCAAGTTGCTCATGCAGAAGATGGCACAAGCAGTAACTGAAGACAAATTGTTGCAGATCTGGGCAGTCCTACTAGACATACAATTCTGAAGTATGGCACAGTGACAGTGGGCTTAATTCACTCCTGCCACATCAGTGCGAATCCAGTACATTTTTACTAAATCAGGGGAGTTAGACTAAAGCAACGGAGCAGTGCACCCAGAACTATATGTCAGGGCAAATTCAAGTAAACCATATCCTTACAGAAGTCAGAAATAGTTTCCCCTGTTGCAAAAAGCCACCTCCACAGTTTTCCATTGAAATCAGAACCACTTGCTGGCTGTGGCCGTTTTGCAGCCTTTGTACTTTGGTAAGTTATTGCTTTTGTCAAGAGAGAAGCACAACATGGTGCAAGTCACAATGACAAGTAACAGCAGGTGCAGAGATGCAACAGGGCCAGATCAAGAGCCAACCACTTGAGAAGGGATTTCAGTATTACAGATTCAGACAACAGCACTTAGTCTAGCTCCTGAACTGCTGCTGCACAGCTGGGTGAAATCCTGCCTTTGCTTAAGTAAAGGGCACTGCTCCCATTAGTTTCAGGATTTCAACTGGGTAGTAGAAAGCCTGTAAAAAGAGTCAGAGGAAGAAGTGACAAATCTCTTAAATCACTTGGCCCTAAACAGAAAGCCAACAGGTATTATGTAGGAGACACAAAATGCCAGCATCAGTCACAGTTGCTGAAACAATAACTGGTAGCGTTGGTTCTCTATTAGGCAACATAATTACTTACAGCCCCTTTGCAGTAGAGACGTAGCTGTCCTGCTGGAGTTCGAACAATCACTGACATTCTCTTCCTGTTGCTATTGAAAGAAAAATATTTGCTTTCATCAGTCAGTGACTAAGAGTAAATCCCTTTCTAGCCATTGAATTTTCTCATCTGAGATCAGGCGAGATGTAAAAGCAGTAACTTAAGACCCCACAATCTTTGACAGGCAAGGAAAAACACTAAATGGCCCATTTCCAGCTTCAGCCCTATGGCTCCCATTGGTGAACACTCAACCAGAACACAGACTTGCACCCAAAAGTGAGCAAGAATTTGGAAGACAGTAAGATGGCACAGAAATCCTCTTGAAAGAAGGGGAGTCATATTTATTCTCAGCTTTTCCTTATTCCTCAAGCAAAACTGTTTTGGGGACTTGGGCTAGAAATGGAATCATTAAGGCTGAAGGTGCATTTATTACAGGCATAACAGGCACTGAAATAACCACTCACTGACAAGGGTAGTTATTTAAATTCCTAACTCAAAAGAAGGCAGAAGTGTCATAGAAAGAAATCTTGGTGTAAGACCAGCTCTTGGCCTCCCTATAGGTTCTTTATATTGATTTAATCAGACCTACATAGTTGGAATTATGCAGAAGAAAATCAGACCCTCTGAGCAGGGCTGCATATCAAGAAGTTTGGGATATATTTTTAAAATAAAGGTAAACAGTAGCATACTGTATACAGGTATTTAAAAAAAGGAAGGTAGGCAAGGATTTTTTTTTAAAGATCAATTTTGGCATTTTGCTTCTCAATCTCTCCTTTAGAAAAGCCACTGCAAATAAAAATGCAGCTTAAGAGATAGAGTCAAGCAAATCAACTCTCAAAGAGAGCCCTAAGAACACCTGGTTTCACATTCAAAAGTTATATGTAACTAATTCTTTTCCTTAGTGAAGAAAGAACTCAGAAGCATCTTCCTTTCCAATTCCGTCCTTGCCAATACGTACAAACAGATCAGAGCGTAATCTTCCTCCTCCTTCTCTGAAGTTGCTCTGGGAGATCTAGCTTCTTTTCGTGGCTCAAAAGCCACGTGTAAGAAAGTAAGCTCTTGGCATGTATGATCAGACAAAATCCTTTCCAAGACTTTCTAAAGAAAGTCTGGAAGGACAGCAATTAGCTGTGCCCAGAATTTCTGCAGTAAGCTAATGACACTGGAAAACTATCTTGTGCTTGTTGAAATCCAACTGTAGGAATTCTCTTACTAGTCAAGTGGGAAGTTTCTACACACAGGGAAGAGCTAAGACAGTTTTTTTTTTCTGCTACATGCAGGCTACAGCTACTCCTGTCTACAGACACCAAGGTACTGGTCAACTTGTCAGAAACCCCAAAAGACTCATCTAGTACCTTTTTAGATATTCCCACAAGTAGCTTAAGTAGCTACATTCTTAATGAAAAGGGGAAAATAGCCAAGAGCAATCTTGAAAGCAAGCCAGCACAGAAGAAAAGCTGTCTACCCACTCTTCCCCAACTTTACTTTTACATACTCCTTTATAGCAGAATCAGACAACTCAAAGAGGGCAGAGAACAAGACTTTAAGGCTTTAAGTCACAACAAGAATAGAAAAATATCATAAAAGCCTGCTGACTAGCACCATCCAAACTAACAAAACTTTATCAACTGTCAAAAAGAAAGCACCTTTAATCACCTCCAGTGATTCAGAGGCCTGATGCATCACAAAGCTTCCTGCTACCCAAGTGGTACCCATCCTAACTAGCCTGACAAGTTAGGAGTGCTTGCAAGGTTTAGCTTTTCATGGCCGGAGTGATCATAGTTGGAGTGGTTCTTAAAAAGCAGCACCAAAAAGCCCTCCAGTTGTAGATTCCATCTACTCAAAAACAAGTAATTTACAGAAGCACTCTTAAAGTGCAACCTCAAAGCATGTTCTTGAAGTAGGTAAGTGACACATCAGGAAATTAGTGAGACACAGAATTACATTTTCAGGGCATCAACTTCTCAGTAAGGCAACAGAGCTGGAGTGCTAGGGGAGAGTTTCATGCTCACATGCAAACAGCCACCAGTTCGTAAGAAGCTCTGTATTAGCCTTACATTGGAAATGAGGAAACAGGGGGGAAGGACAAAATTAAGGAAGGTCAGCTTTTCTACTGCATCAGCTGAATCTTTTTATTCTCAATAATATATTGACAAAAATGGTTTTCTTGTTACCCTGTAGTCAGTGTATTAGAGGAAAACTTACCTGGAAAACTCCAGTACGTTAAGAATTTCAAAGGTTTTTTCTTTTCCCAGCTACAAAAGAAAGCACGTATTATTGGAACTTGCAGTATATTCTTACATGTGTAAACACACAAGTTGGTTAAACACCCTTGTTTACACAGCCCAGTGTGAATACAGTGTGGTAATAGCTCCCTCTCCTGGTAAAAGTAATGAAGAGCCCTATATAATGAAGGTTGCCTAATCTTACACGAACATCTAATATTGTGGCATCCTCCCTTTATTTTTACACCCTTTCAAGGAACTAGTATCTTGCTGTAGAAGGATAAGCACGCTCTGAAAGTTAAGCTGCATATTTACTTCTTAACAGCTATCAGCCCTGAGACATATTACAGACTGTGAGCATTATTCCAAGTTAAAATAAATAATGCCATCCAGATTTGCTATTACAACCACCTTTGTCTGAACTGCCCTTATATTTCTTTTACTTGAATGTAGAAGCAAATTAGATTTTTTCTGCAGTAAAAAAGTTTAGCTGAGGATTAATTCCTGCTATCACCAACAACTGTTTGCTGGGCTTGAGCATGAGCAACCTGAGAAGATAAAAGGATTTAGAAATGCCTCAACATCTTTGTGATTCCTGTTGTATAAGATAGTAAGAGCAGTGGGAGTTACTGGGGTCTCAAAACTCGAGTGGTATTTGTAGCTTGTGGTTAAAGAAAGGGATATAGCAAAACCTAATTGCAGTAAAGAGCTATGTCCTACGAGGCTCTTATCAATTCAGCAATATCCCCAAGGCCAAAAGCCACTCCCAATCCATGTCACATATACTGCCACAGCTGTAGGCAATGAGGAGAGACAGGAACCTCTGAGAGTCACCCATTTTATTTCTGGCTATAGACCAACCATGCTCCCAGCTTGGCATGTATGTAAAGTATAAAACTAGGTCAGGTGGGCCTAGGTCTTCCTGCAGAGGAGAGAAGAGCCTAGATAGCTTTAGATGACACTGCTCATACTAAGCTCTTCCCCTTAAACTAAGCAGCAGTTTTTTGAGTAGCTGCAAAAAGGTTGTGACAAGTCCTAGAAATATGTGTTTTAAGTGCTTAGCTTGGCAGTGTACCAAGAAACTTGAAACTTAATGCACCTGAAAGGAAGGACAAAAATACATCCATTATTCTTAATAAGCACCTGACCATATATTCCGGAGACAAAGTTCTCATCTTAGTTTACACCTGTGTAAAACTGGAGCCACTTTAGCTTAGACCACAACTTAGATCAGAATGTGTGGCCCCATGAGTCTGAGACTGCCTGTGTCAACTCTAATCCGTTAATAACGCACCCCTGCATACAGAGCTTATTAAGCAGATATATCTTCTGTAGAAGATCTTACTTAGAAGAAAATTTCCATTTTAATACAATAAATCAAACATTTAGAAGTACAGTAACCCTTTAAATAACAAAATTTGACACATGAATTTCCTTCTGATATGAGTGTGCTCATCTGTGCTCCCTAGACAAGGGAAATATTCTTCAGGCACAACTGCTGTCATTTCCCATATAAGCTACAACTTCCCATTGCAACATGCCACACAAAAGGGCAGAGGACTTTGCACATAAAAGAGTAAGACAACTTTTCCTAGTCTGCAAAAGCCTTTTTCATAGAGCATCCTGAAGGCCCTCTAAAGGGGAATTCACAAGAACCACACAGGAGACATTTACGCTCTGCATGAGCTTGGCAGCCTGTGCCACGCACATCTACTACTTACGGCATCGATTATGACTGAATGTGGAGTCCGTGCTGTGAAGACATAACCCAGTTTTTTTGCTCCTTTCACTAATGCCCCTTCATCTGCCAATATAAGAAAAGCTTAAATTTAATCTGATATATATAGAAGAGGCCTGCAAAGCCCACACTTAAATATGCCACATTGCTGAAACACTGAAGTTCCCATTCCCCATGTACTCCCACATCTGTAGGGCTGCTAGAGTAGCTCTGCACACACTTCCACAAGAACATTCACATTTTAGTCCTATGAAGACCATGTAGGATCAACTATGCAAACTTCATACTCAATCTGCATAAAACATCCTGTAACTACTGAAGCATTAAACTATTGTTGTGGAGGAGTTAAACTTTTCTACAGGAAAGAGGGGAAATATCTGTTCTGAAAGCAAGATCAAAGCTGTGTTACTCTAAATTCCTACAACGTGCACTTAATCAATTTCCTGCTGTAAAGGCACTTAAATTCAGGTGCTACAGAAATAAGTAAAGCATTGTCTTCTGGAGACTGAACTGAGCAGTGTCATTAAGAACTCAAATAACAGTTTAAACCAGAGCCAACACCTCTACCTCTAGCAGATTTTCATACAGCCTCATGAAGGAGCAAGTGGCATTAACCACAACCACCATACAACTGAATTTAATGCCCAGCTCAAACAACCCTAATGTCTCTACAGCTCCCTTTGTCTCCTCAGTTTATCAACACTGTGAGCTGCCTTACATGGGCTGTTCACACTGACTCTTCAGACACCCTATTAAGACAAATAGAAATGCTGCTGCTTTAACACTCAATACATCACTACAGCAATTCTAGAAACATCCTCAGAAACTGAGACAAATTTGATGGGGAACAGGGCCCTACTGTTCTGCATTTTGGCCCTGCCTACCTCTTTCAGTACCACTGTGCTGCCTGAAAGAAGAAAGAAATGGGTGAAGGGCAGGCCCAAATGTGGCCAAGACTCTGCTATTTGTTGTATCATGTCCTGTATCAGCACCTTGCACCTGCCTAAAGTGACGTGGGAAGCTACTAGATCAAGACAAATAGTTTGCAGTCAAGCCAAACAGAGCACGTTGTTCATGCAGAAACAAATGAGTACTTCCATTGGTCAGCTCTATGTAGGAAAGACAAGTCACTGAAGGTTTACTTTTGCTTTCCATCCCTGCAGAAAGAGGCCAGAGTAGAAGGTCTCATGAGAGTAGAAGGGATCCTAAACCTAGCCTAGCTCTACAGAAACATCATGGACTCAGCAGTTTTGTATGAGGCGTTCAAAAGCAGCGTGCACTGTTGACAGAAGATGTCAGATCTACTCCTAGCATTGTGGAAAACATCTTGGTCTTAAAAATCAATGATCTTTTCAGAAATATCAGGACTTTCATTCCCATTCATCCATTCATATCCCTTTACTCCTTCCCCCCCCAAAAAAAGAGCAATCACCAACCTGGAGAGGAGGCCTGGTAGATTATTTTATTTCCTTGTCTCTCAGGAACAACAGTATGACACACAGCCAGCAGAGTGAGGAACTCCTGTATGTGCACAGCTGTGGGCTAGACAGGACACCAGGAGAGTCAGGTTTAGTATTACACAGACTGAGAGGCAGCTGTTCACTAACCTAAGACCCCCTCTTAGGTACCACAGAATAAAAAGTGCCACGTTCTCTATTTATAGTAGTTGTCTTGGTCCCAGAACATCAATACAGCAGTTAAGGGTCAGTAGTAGAGTGCTAATAATAAACACCTCACTTAAGTTGCAGAGAACTGGGAAGCCAGAATGTTCCCCCACACCCCCAAATATAAAAGTATTAGTTTTGTAGCATCCCAAGTTTCATGTAGGCGAAAGATGTCTACCACAAGATGGTGATGATAATCAAGCATCAGGAAACACTACTTTTGTAGCTTCTACAACAGCTTTTAATAGATTGGCAGTAAGTACACCAGAACTGAAGTTATCACAACTGCACCCTTAGTGATCAACATTCAGAAATGACAGCAGCTGATTAGCCAGTAAAAGGTAACATCATGTGCTCTTCCACGGGAATACATCATGGCAGAAATACGTCAGGCAGAAATTTGATCAATGATCCCTACACACTCAGCATCATGAGAACACACAAGAGAAAACACTGTTCACAGCCTGCATATTCACCAGCTACCCCAAAGTGCTTAAAGAGACACCAGGTCTAAAACTCAGTGAAGACACTGTGGCACTTAAATCACAGGCCTCTGATGAACAAGTTCTGTCAACTGTAGCTACAGCGACTTTGAAATGCAGTCCCCATCCCATCCTTCCCTCCTTTCCACCCCTGCTTCTGACACAGCATTTTCAGTCCCATAGTAGTCAGAAATGGTAGCTCAGATGCCCAGCTCATGACCTGCCATACTAACTTCTGCCACAGTTCACAGGTTTGTTTGGTTTTTTTTTTTAAGATGCTTGGCTGAAACAGTTGAAGCGAACACATGTTCCCCTTCAACTCTACTATACCCATAACATCCACAGTTGGTTAAAAATCTTACCAAAGTCAAAGTAGCTGTTTGCTCAGTGACCGAGTGAGACACATTACAGAAAGCCTGCATTTGCTGAAAGCTTTAGTTGACTTTGCAAGCTCTCACAGAATTTTTGCACATGAAAATATAATCTAATTTCCCAAGTTTCATTAGCATAGCATATTTTATATATACTCTGTCTTAACAGAACCTCTACAAAATCATCAGCATTACAAGAGCTGTAGGCACAAGGTCAGGCCAGAACTCCACCATTGTAATATTAAAACCAAGATCAGATGGAGAAGAATCCTACAAGATTCTAGTAAAATAGGATCCGAGTTGTTTGGGGGTTTTTTTAAATGGTTTATTAAAAGAAGTTTCTACAGAATTTATTCTGCTAGTGTACACCAGAATGTAGCCTTTTGTTGTGAAACAATGTTGAAATTAAACCTTTTCAAGTGAGAGCTACATGCCACCAGAAATCCTCCAATGCAAGACTTGTATTACATATATTTTTCTACTAATATATGCAATACTATCTGAAATGCACCATACAGTTATTTTATAAAACCCTTTAATCACATAGAATTACCAAGACATTAAAGGCTCCTCCATTTCCCACTTGGAGGGACACTTAAAATGCAACTTCTCCCAATTAGACTATCAGCATTCACAACTGGCTCTCAGATGTATTAATGTTTCTCTTACCAAGCTCTGTGACAAAAATAAAAACAAAAGTTTCGTTTTATCTCAGGTCCCTGTTTCAGGGACAAGACCAAGAACCAGGAAAAATTTTGAGTTTGTTTTCTTTGTAATGGAGCACACAGTCTATATACTTGCATAACAAAGATGCACTGGCAATAGCAAGCTTTAATTAGGAGGAAGTAAATTACTATGAAAGCCACAAAACAATGTCAGCTGGCAAATGCTGTGTTAACATGTGTAAACAAAAAGTAAGCATATCTGATAGAAGTGCAATAAAAAGACTGAAGACCCAATACTTATGTTCTTGTTTTACTTCATGTATCTTGTCATGAATATTTTCGAAATAGCTTTCCCACAGGACCTTTATCTTTGCATACTGAAACTTCTGAATTGTACGGTCACATGCCACCAAAATAACAACAGTTGTAGCTTTTGACATGCTGGAGCACAGAGGCTATGTTAAAGAAAACGAACAGATGGAATACAGTCAGAGAGTAGTGTGCAAAATGTTAAGTCCACAGCAAATTACTGGTCAGGAGGTTACTGCTGCTCCGTTATTTACAGTGAAAGTAATGAAAGTTGTATCTCCACCTTCAAATGCACAGCTTGATAGATTCTAATTTCAGCATCCATTGCTACAGATCTTTCATGTCCTTTATATGAAGTCTTATGAGGAGCGGCTGAGGAAACTGGGGTTGTTTAGCCTGGAGAACAGAAGGCTGAGGGGAGACCTTCTCACTCTCTAAAACTACCTAAAGGGAGGGTGCAGCGAGGTGGGTGGCAGTCTCTTCTCCCACGTAACAAGCAATAGAACAAGAGGAAACAGCCTCAAGTTGCACCAGACAAGGTTTAGATTGGATATTAGGAAAAATTTATTCACCAAAAGGGTTGTCAAGCAGCGGAACAATCTGCCCAGTGAAGTGGTGGAGTCACCATCCCTGGAGGTATTTAAAAGACATGTAGATGTGGTGCTCAGGGACGTGGTTTAGAGGTGGACTTGGCAGCGCGAGGTTTACAGTTGAACTTGATGATCTTAAAAGCCTTTTCCAACCAAAATGATTCTATGATACATGTATATCATCTAGCCCCTTACACATTCATAGCATACATTTTATCAGCTAGAAAGAACCTGTCTCCAGTAATGTCAAAGTTTTTAATCCTTCCTGTAAATACATTTCTGCTTTCAAACCAGCAATGTAATTTGTTGCTGTCTTGGTATTTTCACAGCTCACAATGGATTACATGGCAATCTTCCAATTCTACAGCAAGAGATCACCAGACAGAGGCTCATCTTATGTCAACTCCTCCACACAGCTGCCATTTGTTTCCTTCCTATATTGTTCTGGCATTGACACTGTATTTATTGCACTGGCAATAATCAGGATAGAGAATTAAAATTCCTACTTCAGAGTTATGAATAGAAAATGAATTAATAGGTTCTGTGGCAATACATCCCTTATATTATACCAAGCTTAACTCCAGCATAAGACTAAAGTCCCCCAGGTTAACTGATTCTGCTTTATTACTTATTTTCCTCTATTAAAGCAAGTCTGCCATTTTAGTACTCAAACTCTTACTGATGGTCTCAGACATTCCTTGCCTGCGCATTTGTCAAGCTCAGCTTTGTTTCTTCCCCCCCCAACCCTCCCTTCTCTATTTATCTGTAGCAGGACAAAGTCTGCATATTTTAGTCTCTTGTTCATCTGTCCACAGGTAGCTCTCAGAATTCTAAGCACCTTTTCCTCCCATTTTTTTCTCCCTGTGTGCCAACAGCTCTGGGTGAAAGCTATTGCTTCTCTTTCTCTATGCCTTTTCCAAAGATCCATGGAACACCTAGTGTACAACCACCTACAGCAGCGATATATCCCATTGGCTAAACTAACTTTGCAGGCTGGCCCTACAAGCTGAGAACTACAGGCACATGGAGAGACAGTCTCATAGTTCTAAAGTAGTTTCTGGATTGTTGTCTACAAAGCCTTACCTATACTAAAAGCAAAGTTCCCCTATCTAGGAGTCACAGCATTATCCATTATCGAGCAGTGCATGGACCACTAGTCAGGAAGCTGTATCACAAGTTTTCAGCCCTTTGTGTTCTCCTTTATTCAGAGGAAACAAAATATTGAGTCAAAACTCCATCTTTTGGGGAGCAAGCTGCACACCCACACATTTGTCACACGTGGCCTTATCTGGGCCACCTCACTCTGAAGACAGAAACAGCATTACTCTAGCCAACTGTTCAGCCTGATAAAAATTACAAGGAAGTTGCATGTAAAGTTAAAGAGATTTATTCATCTCTCCTTTTACCTGTAGCAGTATCAGATCAGTGCCTCCATTCACAATATTTCCAGATGAGCAGAACCAATGAATCTTTGAGGATATGGTCTAGAAATGGCAAATGGGATAAGGCACAGTCTAACAACTTGAGCTTACTGCTTTGCATAAACGTGGCACATTCTGCCAAGGACAGCTAGTAAAATACTTATCTACTTCACTACCAGGGAGAATTATGACTCAATGTCTTAAGAAGATGTGAACTTCCTACTGTTTTGTTCATTAAAATACCTGTAGAACAGTGTCAGGATCCAGCCATGTTGGGCATCTCTAGAACAGTAAAGCTGGTAACGCTGGAGGGGATCAGGATATTTCAGGCACAGACTCAAAGAACACATTAGCCAGCATTTGGAAACTAATATAGTGAAATACAAGTTTATGTTGTCCAAAGCCACTGAAATATGGCCTGTAATTAAAGATACTGCCTTGTACATGAGCAAAAGAGAAGCACCAAGGTCCCATACACAATAAGGGCAACGGCAAAATAGTGAAAAACATTTCCCACCAAGCTATAACAATGTCAGCTGTAAAACAGTATGGTTTGACAGTTTTCAGGCAACAGTTACTTTCCGAACTAAAGCCCCCCAGAGGTTCTCACTACCTGAATGTATTTTCCCCCTACCCTATTTTAGATTACAGTTTTTCATTCCAGTACTGGTATGCTTTTCTTGTTCTTCTTTCCTAAGGAATTAAGAATCAGCTGACAAGAGCAGTCATTTCAACAAAGCCTGACGGGGTAAAAGCCTCAGTTCCTGCACACTTCATTAAAATAAGCAGACATGTTGGAGATCCTAAATGAGCACTTTCATTAAGCTAAAGTTACAGCTCAACATGACCACAACAGTTATCTGTTCTGCATGGTCAGCCGCTTAACTAACCATCACATATACTGACTAATTCGTGCATCTGCAGCTATACAAAGTGCTTGCTGCTTCTTGCCCAAGTGGTAATTTACAGGCCAAAGAAGAGAGTTTATATGCAGATTGGAAATAGTAGAACAAGTTCAGAGAGAATCCAGGGAGATAACAGAGAAGTCTAGGATGAGATCCAAGTTTATTAGTTCTTTCACTTCTTGATCTCCTTCCCTGCACTTATATCATCAGCGTAAAAAATAACCCCACACCAAACAGGCTTGCATCTCCACAATGAGCTTATTCGTAGCACATGTGCAACCAGCAAGCACCAAGATAAAGAACATCTAGCATATTCAAACTTTCTTTTAAATTTTTGGAAATAACTGATCTTGCCTAATTAGAGTTTATACTGTTTTCCCTATAGAAACAAGCCAGCATCATACTCATGGCAATGCTGCACAGTTCATCCAAGAGAAACTGTTACCAAAAAAAAAGCACAGGCAGACAAACCTAGATACTTTCTTCCATATGAAAATCCCAGAGAGTCAAGAGAAACCTCCACATGTTTTCAAGACAAGTTATTTTTCCTTGGAACACTTCCTGCAGGGCAATAATTCTTTGACTGTTACTCAGAGTGGACTTGGCCATCAGTCAGTCCTTACACACCAGTGGCCCCGAAGAACTATGAAATTTAGAGGCAATGCAGGATGCTAGAAATCTTCCTAGCAGATGGAAGACTCTCATGAGGACAAGTACATTATTTTTTATTTTCAACCTGGAAAGAAAATTACTTGGCACTGAGACAGCTCTAAACTAACACTTGGGACTGGATTGAAAAAATAAAATCTTCAAGACCAGAGCAATGAGCACTTATTGAGTGTTTGTGAGAGACAGCACATTGACAACTTGAGCTGAAAAATGGCAAATGTTTAAAGGTAATTCATTGCCCCGCTGACCCCACAAGGCAGCTTGTGCTAGAACACTTCAGTTTTATCACCTCAGTTCACTAAATGAGTACATTGTCAGATATCTGGCATTTGCAGCTATCTACTAGCTATGAAAAATAAGACACTAAGCAGTTTTAGGTAGAAGGAAGCAGTTTATGCACCTTAACATCTGACCTGATGCAAAAGCTAACAGGCTAGAAACATGCATCTCTTTCCCACAATCCTGTAATCCAGCCCTCATCTCCCTGACGCAGTTTGACAAATGGATCTGAACTTCCTAAGCAAACTGTTACATGTAGTCCTTGCATTCTTGTGTCTTGTGCTAAATCACCACTTGTCAGTGGGTGGCATCCATTCCTCCAGTACAGTCAGGCTCCAAAAGATATCTTTGGCCTAACACAAGATATACCTAAGTCTTCGCAACCAGAAGTTTCCCCACTGATTATCTGAGGGCTGAGGTCACACAGTGTGCTCAGCCCAGTCAGTTGTGCAATAACAACAGTATTTATCTGTTCAAGTTGCCAGCCAAAAGGAAACTTGGTGCATAAGGATTCAGCATGTAAAGAACAACAACTTCTATCTGAGCTGCTAGACTAAGTGACACATAAGGAAGCTACCAAAATTCTTTATTTGCCTACTACAACAACAAATATTCCTTTTATCTCCCAAAGTAGATGCTCTATCCAGAGAAGATCAAAGAATTAGAGATAGCCCAAAGTTAAGGAGTCACCTCAAGGCTAGATAAGAAATTCCATCTCTCAGCCCACGGGATACACGTTCCTTCTGCTGAGCCTATTAAAATGCACCAAAGTACTTTTCTGTATAGGTGCCTAAAGCAACAACCAGTGAGGAAGAACTCAAAAGCACTTTATCTGTAGCCTGCACCTAAACCAGTATCCTGCCATTCAGAATGTGTACCTGGAATCAGCAACTGCCATAAAATGTAACTGTAGGCATATATAAACAAACAGAACACAACAGAACAGGAGGAGGCAACCCAAATCATGGCTGCAAGTGATGTTCCCGTGCAGATGATTACGAAAGCCACGCAGGAAACCAGTACACTGTCCTGGCAAGGCCACCATCCTGAAGGTTAGAGCACAGGAGCCATCTTCAGGCTCTATTACCCTGAGGAATATGTAGTGGCATACAAAGTAATTAAATATTCCTTCAGCTATTCACATCTTGCTGCATTTCAACTTCTTAAGTACTGTAAAGCAAAACAGAAAACAAAGCTTTGCTACATGCAAACAGTATACTGTAACTATATTTTAGATGCTCATACTAAACTTAAGCAGCCCAGTTACAGAAGTTATACTGTCTAAGGAGAGCAATCAGCTAAAAGAGTGTGTCATTTGAGTTGGCACTTGTCAATGCCCAGATCCCCTACGGTGAGACAGCTTCTGCAGAACAGAAGGGTCATGTTTTTTTGCAAGTGACTTAAATTCTCTGGTGTCCAGTCAGACACTTCATAGCTGCCTGGTTTCTGACCAGGCAATGAACTGACAAACTCCTAAGGACTAGGTTCCTTTAGGACACAAACAGTTAGGCTAATATTACTAATGACTAAGTGTCAGGCTAAGCTTAAGCTTGCAATTAAGTCCTATCTCTTGCATCCTTTACACAACTGGGATTCCCAACATTTGCAGTATTTAAAGCAGGTCTCAACAGAACCACCTTGCAATGCTTTGGATTACTTTTAAAAAAGGTATTTTAGCAATATGGATATTTGAACACTCCAAGTAGTTTTTCTTTCAAAGAATTACAATTTCTACTATCATCTGCTACAAGACACTGTCTTCCACACACACACTCACATATATGAAGCTGGTTTATAGCTAGCTGGTACCCAAATCAATGTCACTGTTTCTTTAATTTAGTAGTAAGAGAAGAGGGCAGAAAGGGGTTGCAGGAGCTATTTTGTTTCCTTTTTCCCCACTCTGTGCTTGCATGACATACCCATAGAGCAGACTTGATCACACAAGTAGATTTGTTCAGCGTTCAATGCCAGAGAGGCCTAGAATAGGGCATTTAAGGGACATGATATTCAAGGAGTATACTTACATGGTCATTTTCAATGTTTTGCAGCAATCTTGGGTCATCGAATTCACACGATTCACTGGTGGAAGGAGGTAGCTGGCTGCAGGAGCAAGACAAGCATATTCAAACATAACAGTGGAAACATTTCCAATCTTACTACTTCATCTATTTCGTTGGAAAGTAAAGAAAAAACAAAGTACGATTCCACTGTCCTTGAAAGTATTGTGAAAAGATCATATGAGTAATGCACAATGTGCTGAAAATCAGCAACAAGACATCCAAGATGGTTATGCTTGAAAGTATATTTGAGGAGATTCAAGTGTCAACATACTTCCTAGGACAGATGTAGCATAAACAGCTTTTAAGTGTACTTGAAATACACTAATTTCAAGGTGACCTGCTTTTAAGATAGGTCAAAGATCAACATCCCCAAGCTTCCTTTCAAGTCAGCAAGTTTTGCTTCAGGTTAATCCCTGGAGGATTTTAAACCTGAGTACTCTGAATTAGTACCTGAAAAACTCCTCCACAGAACTGACTAGAAGAGAAGCGTACAAGGAAAGAAAGGATGGCAATGAAGAAAATGGCAACACATTGGAAGAAAGAGGCATTCATAGAAATAGCATCTCAGACGAAATAGCAACATATCATCCTATCACCTTCCTAAAACATGATCATAAAAATGAGACTGACCACTAGAGAAGACTAACTTAGTTCATCGGAAAGTGTCTAACAGCATTCAGTGTCTACCTGTTTCTTGAGTGGAGACTCACTTCTTACCTATATTTGCCAAAGCCACATCAATCCTCTCTGGCTCTTCCCTGCTTCCTGTTAATCTGAACATGCTACAGTGACACCTGCATAATTGTAGGTTTTCACTCCTTTCTGTAGAATGGGACAGACCCATCACTTCTATTCATTAAATCTCTGAAGAAAGAGGAGTGGTTCTCTTGACATGAGATGCTGCCAAGAGCTGCTAAGCTCTTTCCCAGCTTAATTATTAAAACACAGCATTTTAATAAAGAAGTTGCTTCTCTTCTCCTTGTCAGGTTTGAACTTAGTGATTGCAAAGAGTAACATTCAGTCTCTAGCTAGAGGTAAGATTACTGTAAACAAGGTTACTCTTAACTGGTGACTTGGTTGTCTGCAATTATAAATAAGCACTGCATTAGCATGCATCCAAGCCACCCCAGCCACTGCCTATCCCTCACTTCCCTACAGCCACCATCTCTCTATGCAGAAGAGAAGATCCATTACCACCCACCAGCTCTGCATTAGGCTCCTGCTAGAAGAGCATTTTACTCTAACACACTGCTTCCTTGGGCTTCTTCCAGTCACAAATTGGAAAGCAGTCTTTATATAGGTTGTCCCCATTCTACTATACAGAACACAAACATCTTTGAATACATTTACCTGAAGTCTTCTGATGAACGTTCTCTTTCCAGCTCGGGAAAGTGACTGAGGAGTAGAAAAATGAAAAAACAACATATTCCACTGTGCAAACCAAAAATAAGTAGAAGATTAAGATCAATGAGTCATCACACACAAATATATGCTGGAACCACAGGTTCAGCTGTTCATACATTTGAACCAAGTTTTCTGCCCTTTGAGGTATCTAATTTAGCTACCATGAACCTCAAAGGTTAACTTGCACAGAGATTTTAAGACTACCCAATTCAGACTAAGCAGAGACGAAGATTTAGTATTCAAGACTCAAAAGGCCAAGAGCTATGAAATACTGGCATGACTCAAAGGGATCCTCTTGACAGAAACAGAAAAAAAACAGTAAGAGGGTATCCCTCACATGCAGGGAATATTTAACTATACAACTAAAATTACAACTACATGGTGGTAATCAAATCCTGTTTCATCTGAAGAAGTCACAGAAACATGACTGACAACTGCTACCCTTGGACTGCATCTTCTTCCCTCTGGGAAGGCCAGAGGTTATTTAGCACTTCTGGTTTAGTTTAACTTACAATCAGGTAAGTTAGGAAGCAAGTAATTACTTCTCTTTACTTCATGTGAAGTACTTCCCAGGTCTCCATTTCATAAATTGTGTTGCAGGACATAAAGATGAAAACTATTAACTGAGACCACAAAATATACTAAAATACGAATTGAAGAACAGAATGTTCTAATCCTGTTCTGATACAGAAGTATGAACCATTAATAAGCACATATTAAGCTACAGAGCTTCTAAAAAAGTCATACCTACCCATATGTCACTCCAGCAATACTACATTTCTTGAAGTTCATTATATTGCACGTTAGAGTACCTGTTTTATCAGAAAACAGGTATTTTACCTGGAAAATAAAAAAGGTCTAATTTTCAGCTTGCAAAGTAACAAAACTCAAAGTGGAAAACAGGTTAAGTATCAGGAAAACTGTGGGAGACTAATGGCTCACATGTCACAGTACTGGCCAATGCAGGCTTATCACATAATCACAGAATGGTGGGGGTTGGAAAGGACTTGGAGATCATCTAGTCCAACCCCCCTGTCAAAGCAGGTTCCCTACAGCAAGTTACACAGGAAAGCGTCCAGGTGGGTTTTGAACATCTCCAGACATGGAGACTCCACAACCTCTCTGGGCAGCCTGTTCCAGTGCTCCGTCACCCTCACAGTAAAGAAGTTTTTCCTTAAGTTTGTCTGGAACTTTCGGTGTTCCAGTTTTTGCCCATTGCCTCTTGTCCTGTCACTGGCTATGACTGAAAAGAGCCCAGCCCCATCCATTTGGCACCCACACTTCAGATATTTATGGACATTTTTAAGATCCCCTCTCAGTCTTCTCTTCTCCAGGCTGAAGAGTACCAGCTCTCTCAGCTTCTCCTCATACGGGAGATTCTCTAGGCCCCTCATCATCTGTGGCCCTCCACTGGACTCTCTCTAGAAGATCCCTGTCTTTCTTGAACCGCAGAGCCCAGATTGATTACATCTTGGTTTGTCTTACTAAAGCTACAAGAAAATAATCAGTAAAGTTATCTAATGGCATAATTTCTTCTTTATTTCTAAATGCAGCAAGGTCCAAACAGAAGCTATCAACTACAAAAGCTCCAGTGTGGTCAATACTGATGTACTTGCTTGTGCTAGTTCAACACTCATATCTTTCAACTGTACTAACGTCAAACAGCAAGACTGGAAATTGTAAAACAAAGACACTAAAGATTGTTTAAGTATCATTACAATTTAACACACTGAATAAGTTTTGTGTTCCAGAGATCACCAGGAATTTGTCTGGGTTTTTTTCTTCCCCCTCTCCTTAAATAATACTATGCAAGAAATATTCTAAAGTCCAAGTGGTATTCTCCAGGTAAACATAAGATGCTTTTTCTGGTATCCAGTCATAAGCAGTCCTGAAGTGCAAGACACAGCCACAGTCAGCACTGCACAAGCTAATAATGGAAACCAGTGACTTTCAACCAGAACTTGGAGATAAACCCAACACAGCAACACAACTTCTTGGACCATTAGCAGACACGACTCCTACCTTCAGTAGGTCACAACAAACCAAAACTAATTGCAAGCTAGATCCCACAGTTTTACCTCTGCACCAGGTAAGATTTTTAAGTCACCAAGAGGTAGGAAGAGATGGTGCTAACATAGAAATTCACCAATTTGAAGATCAGAATATTTTGCCTAGAGTTACAAAAAGCTTTTTCTCAGTATTTGCAATTCAGTTCAAGTCAGTACGCTACACTACTGGTTAAGTGATCCTTTAGCTGGACACTACACTACTGGTTAAGTGATCCTTTAGCTGGACACTACGCTGCTTCTGAATACAGCATTGACTATTAACTTGCTCAGGCTCCATTTCCAAAGGGGGTACCTAAACACCTACGGGACTTCAAGTCATTAATAATTCCAGAATATAACAATTTTAAAATGCACCCATGAACAAGTAATACAATTTGTGAATCCAAAAGTTCAGTCTAGTTACATAGAATCACTAGTAAGCCATTTCTGAAAACAATATATGGACCAACAACATACATTATACCATATAACAGTTTACTTCAGACAAAAACACTAACATAATTTAGAGGTTGGTAACTTCACAGCAAAGTAATTTAAATACAAATCAAATTTTAAATAGTCCTAAGGAATATGCCTACTAGATCAAGCAGAGAGAATATTAACTATCACCCTGTCAAGCAGAACACAATTATGTATTTTACATACATAAACATTGTTTCCAACACTAAATTAATACAAATTATGAAATTAATGTGGTTCAGTTATATACCTATGGCTTTGGTGGTCAAGGGAAAAAAAACTATGATTTCTCAGTGGTACTACAAAATTCCAATGGCAAAGTTGTGTTTTTCAGTAACCTTGTTTTGGGAAGCCCTTCCAGTTTGAAAAAATCTAATTTGCAGAATTCATATTAAAAAAATCTCTTACAACAACTACAAGTTAACATACAGTTATCTTTAACTGAAAAGAAAATGGAAATGCTTGAAGGAACATAATCTAAATTCAGAATAGAACTGCATTTTTTTGACTTGCATTTCCTGTGAGGTGGTCAGAAACATGAAGAACTAAGAACACAGGCTGAGGCTGTTGGCCTGCTTTTCAGCCAAGTTGTGTACACTACATTCTGTTCTGGTGTACACAGTCACAACCACAGAGCATCTCTTTAATACCCTTGAGGAAAAAGTCAGTTTAGAATATTAGAAAGATTTCATTCCAAGGCTTAAATCTGCCTATATGACCTCAAATTTAACCCTGCAATACCTCATTATTTACTTGCAAGACTTGGACTAATGAAAGATGTCCCATTAACCCGAGCCATGGAGCAAAAGAATAAAGCAGATCTGTACAGCATGCTCTCATACTTTATCTTCCCAGAATGTATCACAAACATGACACTTAAGAAAATGTTGTCTTACCTGCCCAAGTTCCTCATTAAGGTTTGATGTTCTGGCCATTGCAGGTGTATCTGTTTCAGGATAATACATATCTATGTCCTGAAATGAGAGCAAAATTAGACCTATGCTATGCAAATTAAACAGTGAAGTCTCCAGTCTTCTTTCAGTCAGTTCCAATTTGGCTTGATTAACTTCACTCTGTTGGCAGAGGTTCTGAAGGCCTGAGAGACAAACAGTATCACAGGCTGAATAGGGGTGCCCCCCTTCCAAAGAATACCTCCATACTACATGTACATGAGAAAAGCCAAATTAAATTATAGGTAATTACCATTTTCTTCACTGCATCTCTAGTTTAAGAATTTAGTACGGTAGGAAGAAGTTCTAACAGACATTAGCCATGCTAATCATAGGTCTTCAGTTACAACAATGTAATTTACTCTAGGCACATCCATCACTGAAGAGACAATTTAAATGACTGAAATCAACTGGTATTACTACATTTAATTGGGAGGGTAAGCAAAACAGCTGCTACATGAACCAAAGCAATTTCTCAGCATCTCCAATACATTATAAGCAGCTCATAGAACAGACATGTTAGACCTTATTTACTATTTCAGAGGAACCACTACAACCTTATTGAAAGTCCAAGGACTAATGCATACTAAGAGAGTATTCCTTTTGTTTCCTTCAGCTTAAGAGACAGAGACATCACTACAGTATTTTTGGTCCAACTGAAGAGAAACACACTTTGAAGTCAAAGCTTGCCTGAACAAAGGGATCACTGATTTGTTGCATGCGGCACCACCAACTCATCTCCTTACAGAAATAATACAATTCATACCAGAGGTGACCTTAAGGTCAACCTCAGGATTTAAAAAAAAAAAAATACACACCACAAAAAAAAACCCCAAAGGCCCACCAACCAAAAAACCCCACACTCCCAAACAAGTCTAGTTTTTCCCTCTGCTGTAGCTGAGAGAAGCTATAAGGTACTGAGTTTTCAAAAGGTATTTACTGAACATGAGTCAGCTGAGAGACCTCCTTCAACCAAAAGAGCTGAGCCTTCCCTCTCACCCTTAAAGCCTAAGATACACAAGAGCAATCATTTGCACAGGGGATCTTATTACAACATATTTTAATTTCCTGTGGAACACAGAACTCATACAGAATAAATCCTCTTAACTTCTCCCTGCCTTTCCCAGAAATTGCATTGTAAAAGTCATCAGAAAATCCGGTAAAGATTTCAGGGTGGATTTTTTTCTGTTGTGGGCTTGTTGTTTTTTGTTTTTTTTTTTAATGTCACTTTCCAAAACTGATGTTAATAAATTTATTCTTGTGACTTACCCAATTTATAAAAAGAGCCTGAGTAAACTTGACAACTTCCAATGTCACCAGAAGACTGATAGGAATAAGGTTGTTGTACAAGATTATAAATGTCAGCAGATTGTATCCAAAGTTGACAGACAGCATTTCTGTGGACCACAAGACATAAGACATCAACAGACAGAAGGCAGAAGTCTGAGTGGTACAGTATAGGGGCAGTTATCTTTCTACAGCTGAAGATCAGATTTCGTAGTGTTAAAATAATCAGCAAGTGTGTTGAGGCCTTGCATAAGGGCCTTCATATTAATTTCAACAGTACATATATAAAACACTCACAGAACATATGCCTGGATGCTCAGCATATTATGTCAGGTGAAGGGCAAGACTGGTGAGGCTATATATTAGAGAAGAGAACACTTTCTGAATTTTTGCTAAACAGATGGTGAGAAGCACGATATTCTACGTTATAACCCAAATTTAGAGATTTATCTGATATGTCATCTGCCCCAACTGAGAGCCACCAATATCACTAGTAATATAAGCTTACCTTTCAGAAAGTACCTGCTTTTCTCAGTGGAGTTAAAAACCCCCCAAAATAGACTAAAATTTGTTACACTAAGAAAGTAATCTAAGAAAAGTTGACTATTAAACAGACACCTAGTAAATGACTGAAAGCATCCTGCTTAGGCCAAAGAGGTGGGCATCAGAAGAGTAGGACGTCAGGCTGAATGAGGCTCTGAGCAACCTGATTTAGCTGAAGATGTTTCTGCTCACTGCAGGGGGGATGGACTAGATGACCTGTAAAGGTCCCTTCCAACCCAAACCGTTCTATGATTCTATAAGAGCTATTATTAATGGTGACAACATTGGGCAAGTTGCCCAAATAAATCTGCTAGCACGAATGGTCTTGAAGGGAAGGGGAAGCATTTACAGACAGCAGGCAGGAATGGATAAGGCTCAGTGGAGACACAGGATAAAGGCTCCTGTTCATGGTGCTGCCCACCATGATGAACATCCAAAGTCTCAGTGGTGTTCTGTTCTTCACTCTCCTTGAAGCTTAGGGAGGCACTTCAGTCAGGATGCAGAGCACTCAGCACAACAGGGTCACAAGCCCACGCTGAAGGGTTTTCAGTGTTAGAAAAGTTGATAGGAAGGCAAGAGAACAAACTAGTAGGAAACAGAAGCCAGAGAAAGCTGCTGAAACCTAATGAAGATCAGAGCAAGACTTGAAGTTTGGACTCAGGCACCTCCAGGTGCAAGTACACATTAATTCCAGCGTCTTTGATTCATTTACAGAAAGAGTAGAAGCACATTTGATAGGGAAAGGCTTTTTACAATACAATCTTTATAGAAATCAAGACATTTAACTAAAATTTAACACCTACCTGCCGAGCCTGAAAAAGTGCCTTTCCCATGTGTGGCAGAGTGATAGAAATTGTGCATTCAATTTACAAAAAAGCATCTACACAGGCTGCTGTGTTATCTTCAAACTGACAGGTTGTGTTTTATATTAGCACAAGTTCAAGAGCTTATTCCATTCATCTTTTTAATATTACTTCCATCACTGGAAGGCACAAATTTAAACTGCTTCATTAAGAAGCAGGGGGAGGGTGGGGAAGAAACTTTGAAAGTTGCTGATACAGTTACTAGAAGACAATACAACTACCAAAAACCAGAGTCAGATATGAGGCACTTTCGTGCTCTTCCTATATGCATTTTTTTCCCCATTACTATCACAATTGCAGTTCTCAAACTGCAGAACATACCCTTTGCCATCTGTTTTGCAATCACCAGCAGAAAAGCCATTTGCAGATTATTAGAATTGTTTTCAGATCTGCATCACTGTGTTTGTAACAGCACATTTTATAGCTAGCTAATGCAATCATCTCAAGTCAGAAGTCTGGGGGAGCAATTTAGCTCATCTTTAAGTGTTTGCATAAGGCCCATCATTGATAACTGAATTAGTAAAATCAAGGAGCATGAATGAAATCAAATAAAACCCTTTAATAAGCATGCTAAGATCAGTTTTCTCATTACAAAATAACAGAAGTCAGTAGTCAAAAAAATGAAATATTATCCAATAAATACAAAATTGTAACATTTAGCATTTAACAGTTTTCTCTACAATGACAGCAGATCAGCATTTCTGACTGAAAAACAGCTGAAGAAATCCTTTTCTTCTGTACATAACCACAAAGTTGAAGTCAGTACCATCAGAATGATACCTGCTATTCTGCAGTCAAGTAGTCAGGCCAAGGCTGCACTGCATGACCTGTTCTGAAAACAAGTTTGTGCACAGCATATCCAGAGCTGAAAAAACTTGAACACCAAATACCCAAGAACAACTTGTGTTATGAGTTTCTTCCTTACTCCCTGAGTGGTAGCCCAGTGATATTTACCTAACCTTTAGAAGGTTTTATTAACAGAAGCCTCACTGGCAAATGAAATTATGCCAGACCATTGTAAAAAAAAAAAAGTATTGGGCCATCAAAAGTTAGAGACAGGCTTTGTTTCTTGTGTTCCTTTCTTTGTTTCTTATTTTATGTATTCACTTAACAAACATAAGAGCCTGGCTGGCCCTACAGCCCGATGCATCCCTAGCACATTGCCTGCGTACTCACCATTGGAGCCAAGGTACCAGACGACTTCACCGTGTGTTCTGTTCCATAATAAGGCACCTACAGAACTCACAAGGGCCATCACCAGGAGAATACAGAACAAAACTAGGATCTGCACGTTAGTCACTTTCTCCACATTTGATCTCTTCAGAGGTGCTTTGGTTGAATTCTGAACAGCAGCAGGAGAAAAAACAGTCTGGCAATGGCTTATGCAAGAGGAAACTGCAAAGACAAACTCAGTCTCTTTTTAGAGTCCATTACAGAACTTGCTACTTCAAGCCTATTTAGCTCAATATTGTATGCAAAGCTCAACAAGGTAGTAGCAGAAGCCAATACTCCTAGTGACTCCAAAACTGACAGGAGAATGGAGTATGAGAACCATGCAGTTCTACAGACTTAGTACTCTCATCTCCTGTCTGTCCATGCCACTGACAGTCAGTAAAGGTGAGCAACACATACACATTGCTGGTGTCTCCAGGCCCTCCCTGCCATTGAGGCAATACACAGACTGTAGTCTTAACCTAATTATCTCCAAGTGTTAAAGTTATAGGTGGTCATTATCACCTCCTCAGCTGTTAAACCTCAGTTTTACACGTTGTCCAGCTATCAGACAAATTAAGATAAAATACAGCTAGTTTTGCTTACATATTGAAGTGTTTTAGACAAATACCTCAGCAAGTGTTTAAACATGTGCACATGCAAACTCAAGTACAACAGTATCCTTGTATTCCTCAAAGCCTCCAGGTCTTAAACAGCTACAATGAGTCAAAATATTTCATAAACTTAAGTTCAAAAGACAAGCAGAATACAGGAAAGATGACCAGCTTCTATCAGAACATGCTCTAGATCTCCTTAAAAACTTTACCTGCATGAGTTTTGTATCATGTCCTGTATATACAACAATACCCAAGACCCATTGAGTATTTCTCAGTTGTGCACCTCTTAGCAAGATCTGGTCTGGACCAACAGGAACTGGGCTGCAAAGCAAGAAGTAGGTATATCTCTCAATTCTTGATAACGCTTTAGAAAAGTAATTCTCCTTTCAGCCTTAATCCTCCCTCAAAAAAACCCCAAAAAATCCCCGCAAAACAACAAACAAAAAAAGGAAGAAAGTAACATAATGAACTTACATTGTCCACACAACTCAAGAGAGCACTGAAACCCGTGTCAGTCTAATGTCTGCTCAAGCATGGTAGGGCAAAGATGATACAAGGGAGCTGTTCTAATTACTCAAAACTTGAGAATTCATGTGTCAGTCAAGCCTACTCTGCATTTTACCTTGGCTCATATGTTCTCTCATACCAAGGACAGAAACCTCACACTTGCAAACAGACCATCCATCCCAAGCACAGTATAACCTCACATACACCATTCAACAAACATTTTAGGAAAACTGTATTACCCACGTGATTTTCAAGCGGGATGGAAGCAATAACCGTCTATTCTTGCACCTGTCACTATTCAGATGAGTTGCCCAAGGAAAGCAGATTTTATGCAGGAAAACAGGTACAGCAAGATAAAACCTGTATGTTCCTACTGACCTTCCAAGTTCTACAAATTCAAGTACTAAAACTAAAGTTCTTTTCTTCCGAGAGTTGAAACAGATAAAAGTCACACTGATAAAGACATCAGATTCTGTGATTACTTTTCTCTATTGATCTGAACTTGGTGCAGGTTGAAAGGGAAAGCTTTCCCATTTCCTCTGCATATCTCCTGTAACAAGAAGGCCCTAAAAACCCCAGTGTTTATTCCCCTACTCTTCCTTCTGTTTAGGTGTTACTTTTGACTAAAAAAAAAATCCTATGATTCCAAAGAAATCAACTCTTCCATAACAAGCAGAAGACTCCATAGGAAGACAGACCTATGTCATCTTATACTGGTAGATGCTCTGATTGACAGCTTTTAATTATTATCCTCCTCTTCCCCAGCAAAAACATGCCTATGCTCAGTGTTGCAGACTAAAAGCACACAGGACATTTCTCCTAACCAAACAAATATATGGCTTTTTTGTGAAGTCAATACCTTTGACCATCTAAGCGCAAGTTTCCAGTGAAGTCATAAAGATGACGGTTGGGTCCTTCACATTCTATCCTTCCAGATATCTTCATCAATTCCTCTCTTGACTGGAGACTAGCAGTTTGAGACAATCCCTACAGAGACCAATGCAAAGGACATTCTTGTCAGATGTTATTAGAAGGCAACCCAGGTGCTTTCTTTCAACATTTAAGATATCAAAAGTAATTAAATGTGTGGAGATTTTCTGCCTGGTTTGTTGGTGGGGTTTTTTTGTTTGTTTGTGTTTTGTTTTTAATGAGTATTCACTAACTCTTTCCTGCAAGGAAGATTCATTATGTACACATGCAATGATGGTTATACCGGACTGGTTTAAATCCCTCTACATAAGAAAGCCGTATTACCTACATGATCTCTCTGTAACCAAGAGGAAAGTCTCATACACAAAGTTGCACGTGGGCAGAATGAAGTAGGAGACAAGTAGTATAAACAGGCTTTTCTCTCAAAATATAGCTCCACTGATGTCACTGCTGCTAAATATAACCATTCTTAAGTGTAGTCTCTCTTGGGTCACTGCAGCCATCATCCTCTGATCCTACTCAAGGTCTGTTATCAACCGATCATGCAACTGTACCCTAACACATTGCTACTCCATCCCAGAGCACACACACAACACCCCATTGCCTTTCATATCTATGAACACCTATGAACACTTGGATAAGAGTGATCCATTTAGCATTCCTTTTGCCAGATTCTGACCGCAGTGCTGCAAGCCAGAACAAGGCTTAGAAGGCTCCACAATGTTATTTTTGTATGTTAAGTGTGTCCTGAAGCAAAGAAAACCTGACTGGAACTCAAGATCAGATCTATTGGGCTGACCCAGGACAGTAAGTCACATTTCTACAAAGGTAATAAACAAGCAGCAAAAGTACAGCTTTTTAAAAACAAATAATCTGCATTTCAAAATCCTAATCCTAATTCACTTTTTGTAATGAAAGAGGGTGAAGATTCTGAACTATTTCTAAACACCATAATCAACAGTATTGCTTCAACAAAACTAGAAATATTGAAATAGATTCTACTGCTCACCACAAAGAGAACGAGTTAACTAGAACATATGAAAGTTCCTTCTGAGCACTCCAGAGAGGCAGAAGCAGCAGACAAACTGGTATTTGTGGCAACAGCACGTTCAGCTCATCACCAGAACAGCTGCTTTTTTGTATGTGGTTTTTGTTTTAAATACAACACTTCAATTCCACTTACTGAACCTTCAGCAATACACAGCCAAGGTCTGCAAGTCTGTCTGATTTGCATTTGTGGCCTTATAATGCTTCCTCCAGATTAGTTCCTTACACTTGCACATGAAGCATTATTGCTTGGGTTTGTATCTGTTGAAAAAAAGGCTAAAGCCACTTGGGGAGATATGTGGGGGTTTGTTTTTTTTTTAAAAAAAAAGTACTTGTATTGTATTGCTGTCATGCAAGCCAGACTCTACTTTGCAGCTAATATTAGATACCTAAAAGGAAAAAAAAAAGATGAAATTCAGGGTTTTTTACCTGTCGTATTTTAAGATTCGTCTCCCCATCAAGATTAGCTGTTTCAATATAGCACATGGCTTGTGGTTCACTGTAAGGGGCATAAGATTTTAAATATTAAAACTCAGTACTTATTGTATACTAATTTTGTACTGAAATGGTCCACAATACACTTCAGTACACTGCAGAAGACACACCCATATTGGTGATATATGACCATGAAATAACCAGCTGAAAAGTACACATTTTACAGAGATGTCTTTGGATATGAACACCCTCATACAACAAATTATAAAGAAAGACAAGTCTAAATCAGAAGGTTAATAAGAGTTTAACAAGTCATGATAAGCTTAGATGCCCAAATCGGACTACTTCACATTGCAATCCATAAAATTGCTTCAGATTGCATGTGCTATAGATAATTTAAGTATTAAATAATGTAAAAAGGGGATGTGTTTGGATGAAGAGGGTAGTGCTCTCTGCTATTGAGCTCCATCTGTGAACTGCGCACACAAAAGGTCACGGCCTAGCTGAGGGACTTCAGAAGGTCTTGGGGCATCTGAAGTCACTGCTTATCAGTTTGGGGTTTTTTCTGAGAATCAGAAAAAGGTACAGTAAGATTGAAACTGAGAGCTGTGATCTGCATCTTCCAGAGATGCTTTTGCCCTTCACAACAGGGGAAGGGGAAAGAAATTCTTCCTCACAGATCCATTAGTCAAGCTCTTATCTACACCTAACATGTAGAAGCTCTGCTTAGGTAGCACCTATGATAAGGAAGGGTACTTCCATCACGTATCTCTTCCTGATATGTCCCTTAAGATTTAAAACCTCTGTATGGCACCACCAAAACTTCCCCCCCCCCTAACTGTCTTCTCAGGCTGCTAAGGAGTATCAGTTTCCCATCTGGACTCAAGACATGAGCTTCTTCAGCTTATTACTTCTCACACTCTTTGAGATGTTGCTATTTCTTTTCAAAAGTGACCAGTTGCTTGAACAGCAAATGTACTTAATCATCAGGAGAGTCAGTAATAAAGGCTCCTTGGGACAAAAATTGTTAAGAAACAGAAGTACATTCATAACACAGTAAGAAGCTAGATTTCTCTTCAGATAATTTTTCTTTTTTTTTTTTTTAAAAAAAAGGGTTCAGATTCTGTTCTGTGTCTCCTCCTATATGAGCAACCTGAATCCAAACCTAAGAAAGCGATAAATTAAGTCCAGCTTGATTCCAATTTTACTTCTGTCACAAACACCTTATCTACTACAACTGGAGTGGTTAACTCAGGAGGGAGCCGTCTTACAATATAATTCCTCTCATTTCCACAGAAATGTGGAAGTGTTTCCATACAAAGTTGTGTTTGGTTTAAAATCTTTTTTCCTTCATGTAAATTTATCCTCTATGTAAAATTCATCTGATGTCACCTTTCTTCTATGGGGGAAAAGAAAAGATTCAAGATAAAAACAACTGTTTAGTTCACCTCTGATAGTCAGCTCAGACACAGAAAATCAACACATACAAGCAAGAGACACCACCCCTTCATAGCATGCAAAGCTTTCTGGTGAACTGAGGACACTTAGTGTTGTCATTTAAAAGAACCATGGGAATAATACCAATTGTAAAGCAGAACTGCCATAGAAATTGCTATTTACTCCAAGCAAAGCTTCTCCCAAATCAGCATACTTTGGGTTAAATTCTCCAGTTATGTAATTATGAATGACAGCAGGTTAGTGGGATAATGCAGAACAAAAAGCTGACCCATGCAATTTAAGAAATAAATGAGTTTTTTAGTATAATACATTAGAGGATAAGTTCAAATAGAACAAATATTCCTCAATGCTGAAACAGCAAGTTACTGATGTCAAAGTGTAGCCTAACTGCATATTAAGATTGACAACTGCTTATTTAACATGTGGGGTTTAACTGCTTATTTAAAATGTAGGGTTTGCTTCAAAAAAATAAAATACTGTATATAATGGAATTAAGATACCACTATCCTTGATCATCTGACAGTTCAAAAAGGCTGAGCTTCCACATACTGCTTTCAAAAAAATGAAATCTCACAGGAATAGCACAGAAAAGGACAGAGCAGGAAATGCAGTAGCTTGAAACACAAGTTCCCTTAGAAGTTAGGTCATCTAAGAGAACTCCAGGTCACCTGGAGACCAGAGTAACCTGCATTCACTGTTGAAAAGCATGCAGACAGAAGGAAATTATGGAGAAGAGCAAGATGTCATAAGGTTTGACTATTAGAAAAAAAAAAAGCATGTTCAAGAACAGGAACTGCATTGTTTTCTCTTGTTTAAATCACACCTAAGTGGACAGTGGTCTTGATTTGGCCTCAAGTTGTCCAACATAATATAGGATCTAGATTAGCAGCCAAGTACCACTCAAATGCTTTTAGGAACTAGCAACAAAGCTTTGGCTGCCAGTAGAGTGTAAAGAAGTTGCCCTATATTTCACAAAGAAAAATGAGCAGGACTCAACAGTTTACTGTTGCTGCCATGCTAGGAATGGGCTGTACATGCACTGTATCAAAGACTAGGAGTAAACAAATGAAGTCCAAAAGCTTATTTTACATACTAGTTATTAGATGCTAGCTGCACTAGCCATTTAAAATTACCATTTAAAAGGGAAGTCTTTCCTAAAGAGTAGGAAAATGCTGGGAACTCAGTGGAATTAATTGGAAGAAAACTTAAGCTTTCTGAACTAAATGGAGGGATTCTCAGAAGGCCATAGAGCAACTGACTGCATGAAGCTTGTGTAACAGACCTTAAGTCTTCCAACAAACTCCATGATACATGTCATGAATTACAGATACATAATACTATGAAGTCTTGAAGTCTTCTTTCTTAAGAAAATAACACATGAATCATTGGCTAGTAAAATATCATTTTGACATTGTTGAAACTTAGATGTGGAGAAGAATTACTGCCATCTGATGTCTGTTTTTATTAAGAGCAAATACAGAGTTGAGAGTCCTCTGCACCTCAGTTCATCAGACACATCATTTCCACACCCATTCAGGATACCTGGAAGATACAATGATCATGTCTGCTGGAAGATGTTGCCCATTGGTGACCTTCACAATATCTCCTACTGCTACCTGTTGAATCAGGGGCAGGAGTACAGTAGCATGGAAAAGAAAAACAAACAGTTTGCTTATCTAGAATGTTAGTTTGTTATTTTCTTTCACCCAGTAAAAAGAACAGCATCATGCAAAGAACAGCTAGAGATAGTGTTTCTGAAAGTCAGTACTTTTCACTGCAAGTTTGGAAGTATCAAAGCCTTTCCTTCTCTGAATACAAAGTAAACAATTCTCTATTAAAAAAATAGACATACTCAATTGGAAACTGTGACCTTCATGGCTTACACTTAGTAAAAATTTTCTATAATCCTGTCATTATCCAAATTTAGGGTTTTTTTCCTTTAGTCTTATTTAACCTAGAGAAAGGTTTTTTGTTAGTAAAAAAAGTTATCTTTAAATTTTACCTTCCTCAAATACCAAGAGTTTCTCCTATTCCTTCTCCATATTACTTACCTACCCAGTCATCACTACCCTTTTCCCTTAGACTTCTTTAGGTGCACTGCTTGTACTAGTCACTAGGCAAGGAGTATGATCTCTACAGATAGATAATATCAACCAGTTCTTCCCCGACATCTCCCTATAGTCACTTTAGATGGGAAAAGTCCTAATTTCTGGAATAATGAAGACCTAAGTTTCTGGCACCTTTAATGGGAGTCACACATGCATGGGACTTTCATTCCAAGAAGGACCAAGTGTCACTCTAAAAACAGTAAGCCCTGCTTTCCTGATGACTATCAGACTGCTTAGCACCAATGCACTCCTGAGAGTTTGAAACAGCCTTGAAATATTTTTAACATATTAATTAATAAAAATTGAAACAGGCATGTTTGAACAGGTAGATTCATTAGTCTTACTCTGATCCCACTGAAAACAAGTTCCCTACCAATTTCAGCACAAAAAAGATCAGAAGTCTGCCTTATAAAGTAAAGCAAGGTGGATAGTACAGAACTGTTATTCCCTAACAGTAAATGCAAGCCTGGACAATATGCAGATGCAGATACAGGTCAATTCAAGAAGTGCTTAAGGGTATAAGAAAACCAGATTCCTGGTTCAGTTTTAAATATCTTTTACTTCAGTGTCTTCGCTACAAATAGGACATGGAACAGCACAAACAGGCATCAGCACTAGCCATGAGAATCCCTGGCAATGTTTAGTTTTTTTTATAGCCTAACACTTCAGCAGGATTGCTTTTAGGCCTTTTGAGGCAAGTCTCATTTCCCAGAGGTTTTAGGAGGGTGTACTTTTTCCTCATTCATTAGTTAAAAGGGCTAATTTTGTCCTTAAAAAGGCATTAAAAGTCATGACTAGATCAATACATCCTGAGGGATTCTAGCAAGTTCTAGAAATAAAGCTCACCAGGTCCTGGCAAAGGGCTTCACAGAACATGAGTCCCAAATGCCAGAGATAGCAGCAGGACTCGAGTTCCTTACTTGAGCAAATAGCTTACTAATTAGCCTCAAAACCCAAGAACTTTTTAGCATAGGTACCAAAGTAAGTCTCTGTTTGACTTTCAGGGGAGGTACAGAAATGCAGTGAAAGTTACTCTTCTAGATATGGACTGAAAACAAAATACTGTTTACACCCTGGAGCACAGTAACCATCCAAGCAAGAACACTTACAACAGTTCACTACCATTTGACAGAAACATAGTACTTGCATTTAAAGATGGGTTCTCAACTGCCTCTCTTGGGGCTATTTTCACTATTGCAACAGAAAGGATCCCTCCCACCCCAAGTCACAGGGAATTCTCACATAGTGTGCATTAACTTTAGACCTTCAAATTTATTCCAGCAAAAGTAGTTCTTTGAACACCTTCTTCCATTCCCTCCCATCACCAATTTTATTTACCTCTTTCCACATAATGTTTTGCCACATGCCATTTCTTAGAACTGGAAGGAAAGTTTAAAATTAGATTAGAATAAATACTCAAGATTGGACAAATTTCAAAATAAATGTATTGAACATCTATGATGAGAACTATCACACACATCAGAAAAGTACTTTTCAGAAGCTGTGACCACACTGTTGTCCACAGCTGTAGGCATCCAAGAAAGAAGAAGAATCTGACCTTAGTGTTTATATTATCATTTTTATCACCTGCTAGACAACAGTTGTGGCCGGTTTCTTCTTGGTATCATTTCATATTAACACACAAATGGGTAGTATTGTCATTTGTCTGGGAATTGACCTTCCTTAAAACAAAGGGCATTATTGCCCACTGTTGATAACAGAAAGCAAGAAAGCATCTTTGCTCTATGTATGACTTAACCAGCAGATTTTTCTCTTCTTACCTTTTTCCTTGCAGTTTATTCATTATGTTTTGATTCTGACACATCCAACTTCACTACTGTGTTGGGGTGGGGGGTGAGTGGGCAGGTGGGGTTTGGCAGTGGGGGAAGGGCCACCTTGTGAG